TCGTCATACCCAAAACGATAAAATTTTTAAGATAAGTAACAGGTAAAAAAAAACAATAAACAAACAAAAAAAGAATTCAGATAGAAACACAAGTGGCTAGTCTTCGAGGATACCAAGGAATCTTTTTACCACGTTATCAGTCCTTACACTAAAATGGACAAATCATCGTTGATGAGAGTTATGCTCTTGATGGTATCGTTAATATAAGTTTCCAAGAGGCTGGTGTAATCACATATGAAGTGGCCAGCTATCGTGTTAGATACGAACCCATGAAAGCAATGTCCTTATGCTGGGGGGGGGGATTCTTCAATAAAGTGACTTCCGAGAACTGAGTATTGCCGCAGTTGAGAAGTGGAATGCCATACTGCAAAACAATATTCTGTGACTGATGAGGAGTGTGAGGCAGGGAAGGTGAAGCAGTGATCGATGCCAGTGACGGAAAGACTCGTTACTGACATTTCTTATGTTTTGAAACTCGACCCAAAGCTATTAAAGGGTCGCTAAATAAGCCAATAAATCTTGTAATCCAATGCAGTGAATTTTTTATGCAAAAAGAAACATCCATATTTCACATACTTAAATTTAGGAACAAGCTGAAAATTAACAGCGCGTTAAGAATAATTCCATTCTTCTTAAATTACTATCAGTGCTGTATATATATATATATATATATATATATATATATATATATATATATATATATATATATATATATTCATTTATTATAAAAAAAAAGAAGAACAGTAAGATATGTAATGTGGTGTTCTTATTGATATTTTTATTTATAATTTTACAAAACAGTGCTCAATGTAAATTTACCGAGCATAAATATTATAAATTATCTGATTTAAAAATATGGTTACATTGCTACACAGGAATTAGCATGTTTCAAAAACGGAAACCAAAAACTTCAAATTCAGTTATATTGAATTAAAAGCATTAGTTCTGTTTCATCTTCAAGCGAATTCGTTTGAAGATGAAACAGAACTAATGCTTTTAATGGCAATTCTAATGTAATGATGAAACCATATTTTTAAGTCAGTTAATTTATAATATTATATATATATATATATATATATATATATATATATATATATATATATATATATATATATAATTTAAGGTTCCATGTTATAATTTATTTCCACAGCCCTTTTAAAGGACTGCGGATCATCAGACTTTACTTCACCCAAAAACCCTTTTTTGTTTGGAAGTAAAGTCTGATGATCCGCAGTCCTTTAAAAGGGCTGTGGTGAAATAATTTATTACATGGAACCTTAAAGTGGTCTCTGTTTTTATTTAAATTATTTGCTCTGGATTTACATTGAGCTCTCTGGATTATATCCTCCTTAGGTTTACCCATACGGATTACTTAGTTTTTCATAAACTAAAATATATATATATATATATATATATATATATATATATATATATATATATATATATATATATATGAGTTTTTGAACAATAAAAAATATTAAAAAACTGGGGTGAATATTAATATTTTTTTGTTTATGATTTCAGTTGGGTTCCTCAATTAGTTTTCAGCCATCATGGCCTTCATCAGGAAAAAAAAATCCTGCTTGTTATTAGCAGGGAATTACAGGAGTGAATGACTGTTTCTGAAGAAAGTGAACTTTATCTGTAGTTTTCATTTGTGCTTTTATGATATTTATATTTGTGCTTATATATATATATATATATATATATATATATATAGAGAGAGAGAGAGAGAGAGAGAGAGAGAGAGAGGAGTTCGAATTCTACGTGCTAATACCCTTGGGATTGGTATGAATCCTCTTTGTCTCCCCCCACCCCGAGCTATGGGTAAATAGCAGGAGAGACTGGCTTCTATAGCCTTGGATGCCAACTCGTCTATGGGAACGACAACTCTGAATTCAAAAACCTGCAGAGGGTTCTATGGGGACCTTGTGGCACTTAGTGCACCAGGTCTCTGTATTCGGCCCTTCAAAAAGTCAAATCAAATTTCATGTGCTGGTTTCGGGATGTCAGTTCCTAGGAACTGATTTGCTTGGATCCTCATACGTCGAATTCAAGTATATATGTATATATATATATATATATATATATATATATATATATATATATATATATATATATATATATGAATAAAAATATATATATATATGAATAAAAATATATATATATATATATATATATATATATATATATATGAATAAAAATACTAGGAAAACTAGTAATTGCTGACGCGTTTCGTCCAATGTGGACTTTATCAAAAGAAAAATACGAAATGAATTTAATTGAACTAATAAAAAAAAATGTTCCTAGAAACTGGAATGTATATAACGCTATTTTCATATTGTTAACTGAAAATAAAATATTGAAAATATTGTCTTGTCTACTGGTTAAATCGGAGCAATTTTCATATATATATAAATTATCTGTAATCTTATATATATATATATATATATATATATATATATATACCATACTTTTTTCAAAACGTTAACACCTGTTGAAATCGTCACAGTATTTAGTATTGTTGAATTTATTGCTAACATTTTTAGTCGAGATTAACAAACTCTATGATTCGTTCAATTTTGCAAACCAATCGATGAAATTTGAATAAGCTGACTTGTTTGGAAAAATGCTTTGACAAAAACTTTGCTTCGCGATTTTTACGCACCCTAGTATTTTGTACCTCCTTACCTGTTTGTACTTCTCTACAATATTTGAGGGTGTAACGAACGGACGGACAGACGGATGTCACAAACAGAAATCACCATTGTATGGCAACTGTCTATATAAACCTTCCATACGGATGATTTTCATAGCGGAGCTTACATGGCACAAGGCCGAAAGTATGGGACACCCAGTGAGGTCGAACTCTCTACGCAAACGTAATTTTTCTTGTGAGACAAGAAAACATTTAGGCCACGTCGAGGTGCTCTTCAAAACCTTACATACTGATCCTCTTCCCCCATAAATATGACGAATTTCAAACAGGCAGTGTTTATATATATATATATATATATATATATATATATATATATATATATATATATATATATATATATATATATATATATATATTGAATTGAGGAATCGGAGAGCCGAGTTCAAATTCCAGTCGAATCCGTTACATTCACTTACGTGCTAATACCCTTGGGAAAGGTATGAATCCTCTTCCTCTCCCTCCAGCTATGGGTAAAATAGCAGGACAGACTGGGTTCTATAGCCTTGGATGGCAACTGGTCTAGGAGAAGGACAACTCTGAATTCAAAACCTGCGGAGGATCGTTTGGGAACCTTGTGGCATTCGATGCACCAGGTCTCTGTATTCGTCCCTTCAAAAAGTGTGGATGGTCCTGCACGAGGCCTTCACCACTATAATCAAATCTCATGTGCCGGTGTCGGGCTGTCAGTTTCCTGGAAACTGATCTGCTTGATCCTCATACGTCGAATTATAAAGTCGATATATATATATATATATATATATATATATATATATAAAGACATTTTTATGTTTATACATTCTTTTTATAATACAAATATTTAAGTAAATGCTCTGTTTTATAATAAACAGTATTAATAACATTTACTGGCCTGAATGTCCGAGAAATATTCATAGAAAATATTCGTCCTCTGACGACATACGGCATATTAACCTCAATGGGTTATTTAACGCCAACAAGATTTTTATTGCTGGTAATATTTTTTATCTATCTATCTATCTATCTATCTATCTATCTATCTATATATATATATATATATATATGTATATTGGTTTAGTTTGGTTTGTTTTACGGCATATCAACCTCAATGGGTTATTTAATGCCGACAAATTTTTTATTGCTGGTAATATTTTTATCTATCTATCTATCTATCTATCTATCTATCTATCTATCCATCTATCTATCTATCTATCTATCTATCTATCTATCTATCTATCTCAGTCTTTTCTATCTATCTATCTATCTATCTATCTATCTATCTATCTATCTATCTATCTATCTATGGGTTTGATTTGTTTTGTTTTATGGCATATCAACCTCAATGGGTTATTTAATGCCGACAAAATTTTTATTGCTGATAATATTTTTTCCTTCAAAAAATCTATTTCTGATAATATTTTTCTCCAAAATGTATCGTTAGTAATATTTCTTTTTCAAAAATATATTGCTGGTAATATTTTTTTCCTTCAAAAATTTTTTTCCTGGAAATAATTTTTTCAAAGTAATTCTGCTATTAAACCTATTTTTACACTTTCATAGTTTTTTGACCCCAGTTTGCTGGTTAACTATTTGCCCATTGCAGGGACCCCAACAGGTGCTACCACCCCAGGTCACGGTAGACCTGGGGACACCAGTAATTAAGAGGTGGTTCCACGCTCCTCAAAACCTCCCGAGCAGAGGCCTTGCTGTTGGACTTAGTTTATCGTCTTTATCCAGGACGCGGATGTAGTTTATCGTCATACCCAGGATGGTAGCAAAAAGACAAGCATTATTTTTAGCTACAAAGAACAGGAAGCTGTGGAAAGCCATCATCACCTACGTCCTGAAGTGACACGGCACATAGAAGAAGAAGAAGAAGAAGAAGAAGAAGAAGAAGAAGAAAAAGAAGAAGAAGAAGAAGAAGAATAATTAGCTACTTTGTAGGAGAGATTCCTTATCAATCAATCTCCATAGATTTTAAAGATGGCTTCTCCTTAATCTCGAACATCTGTCCCTATTTGTTTTATTTTGGTACTAGCAATCTGTACATTATAATGTTTGTAATAACCACGTAGTACCAAAGCCTGACACTCTCTTTGAAGGTCCGCGTACCACGAATTATTTCGAAAAGGTGAATATACAGTAAAAAGAAAAATGAACAAATGAATAAACAAATGAAAAAAAAAAATGAAAACTTTAGGCCCTGCGGGTGGGGACGCTTATGGAAACGAAGGTGTGGCACTCGAAAAGGTTCTCGTTAATCATCGCTGACCCAGAGATGGCTGCCATTTTCTTTCTCTTTGGATTAACGTCCAGATGCCATTAACGAAATCACGGAGAGAAAACAGACTTCGGAATTGAAGGTGTAGCTCAGTGGTGGGCTTGGAGTTCTTGGGTAGGGAAATGAGAAAGAATTTAACGATTTGACAGAAAACACACTGACAAGGGCGGTGAAACCCACAGAAAATAACGAATGGAAGAAAAGGACGGTAAACATATAAAGGAACCGAGACAAAGAGTTCGGTGTGTGCGCGCGTGTGTATACGTGTGTGTGTGTGTGTGTGAGAGAGAGAGTGAGAGAGAGAGAGAGAGAAAGAGAGAGTGAGAGAGAATGAGTGAGAGAGATTGAGAGAGATAGGGACGTTAGGGAGTAAGAAAGACGATAAAGTGTTAAAGAGAGTGACCGTGAGATTGAGAGAGAATGAGAGACGAGAAAGAAAATAAGAGAGATTGAGAAAGAGAAGTGATTAAGAGAGGGAGAGACGAGAACGAAAGTCTAAAAAGAAAGTCTGAGAAACGAGAAATAGTGAAAGAGAGAAAGTGAACGTGAGGAAGAGAGACAGTTAGACAGATTTTTCGCTGTTTCTTACGAAATTTCCCTGTTTCTTATTACTTTGCTTAGCTTTTAGAAGACATCTACCAGTTGTGGTAATCTTTTACTAGACTAGTTCGTTAACTGTTGTGGATTCCGGGTTGAAATCCGGTACCAATAAATAACAAACGCCAGGAATGAATATAGGAAAATAATGTATTAACGTAATAATACAAACTGGTAAAGCAGGTTAGTAGTTCCAGGAATACGGGTTAGTAGCAAAATATATATACAGTCTTTGGTATTGAAGTATCGCTGTATGACTTCTTACTGAGTCTACGTGCTCGCTCACAGTGACTCCTACAACACTGTTACCTCGCCCTCACTCTTCCGGTTACCTACAACCCTTTACTCTGTCACTCTGGACTCGACTCGACTCTTCGGTCTTGCTCTCTCGGGTCTTCACGTAGCCGTAGTATATGTATATACTGGGTGAGTCCATTTGTGTAAAAAGGGGAGAACCCCTCAACATTAACCATTATCACGTTGTGTGAATTCCTGCTACTAATCTTTCTTTAGTCTGGTACAAGGCCACTAATTTGAAGCACTCAGCAAAGATCTAGATTACAGAATAATAATGACCTGTGTTTAGCCTAATAGTTATCGATGGGGACAAATGGAATCGGAATGCAGATTTAAAATTCTGCCAATGTCCGTTTAGTTTATTTCGCACTAATGGCTTCGGAAAAGGCATAAATCCATCTTAAATAAAGGCATCAATCCATGCCAGATTGGATTCTCCAGCCATATTTTGAAGCCAGTCTAGGAGAGTGAAAACTTTATTTAAAACCATCCTGAAATAGCAGGAGATGGGCGCCGCCAGGCTATAGGCGCTTGTCAAATTGACTGGTCCGCATGTAAAAGAAAAGAAAAAAAAGAAGAGATTTTGGCGGGGAGGAGGAATGTTTGCAGATTAGCATTCATTAGGCTTTTTACAAGCCAAAACTTCTGAAACAATCGAAAAATATTGATTTTATTTTTTACGCCTCTTGGGACACAAGGTCACCCCAGACCTCAAAGATTACTGCTCTCATATTTGGACAGGAGGTACTCAGCCCTCACTTTCCAGTCCCGATAGAGTCCAAAAGCATGTCCGCGTCCTTGGGAATCACAAATTATTTTCATCCCTGCAACCCGTCTCTCACTGAAGGGATGTAGCAAACCTCTCACTATTCTATCGCTACTTGCATGGAAAGTGCTCGGACGAGCTACATTCCTTGGTTCCACCTGGTCTAACCTTCTCGGCTAGGACCCGCCATGACACTTACGTTATTGAAAACCATTCTCATTCCATTAGTGAGAAGTAAGTTCCACTCAAGCCGTTTCTTCTTGTGAAATAGCGAAAGAGAGAAAGTGAACGTGAAATCGACTCCCAAGAGAATATTTCAGCGATGACTACAAACTTAAGCTGTCCCTATAAACTGGATCTTACTCTATAATCCTCTACCTCGAGTGGCACCCGGGCATTGTACAGGGTAAACTTCAAACTAATATATATATATATATATATATATATATATATATATTAATAATCATATTTAGATCTAGATACCTCAACAGAATGCAGAAAAGCAAAAGATGGGGTTTCGTCCTATTTTGGGGGACTCATTCTGTTGAGGGTTCAGGTCGTGATCAATTATTATGAAAAGATTTCTATTAAGTTATATATATATATATATATATATATATATATATATATATATATATATATAGGAAAGGTTAATGGTCCGAGATGATCAGGCCAGGAAACATATGTATAAAAAGTGCTCAATACACGTGTGAAAAAAAATAACACGTAGAGATTTAAACTTTAAAAATTCGGTGGTCAGATAGAATACACGACCTTGGCCTCGACCTCATGGTCTTATCAGGTTAATTCTACCAACTCAGTGTCTCATCAATTCTATAGATCGATATCGATAGAATTAGCCTACTGTGATCAAGAGGTTGAAACCAAGGTCGCGCATTTTATCTGACCATAATTCTTAAGGTATATATATATATATATATATATATATATATATATATATATATAACTACGAACCTAAAGAGTCAGGAAAACCTACCTTGGTTTCATCTACGCGCATCGACAGGGTACGTCAGGTTATTTTTACTTTATTTGTATCGGAGGTTTTTTTTCTTTGGACTCTGAGCTTGGATTCTGGGCGACTGTTTTTCGCCAAAATTACATGTTCTTAGTTCTGTCTTTTTTAATTCCTTATTTTTCCTCGGGTATTGGTTTGTTCATTTACATGCCAAAACACCTAAGGTTTTTTTCCGGACGATTATACTTACTTATATTTATAAGATTATTATTATTATTTTTATTTTCTTTGATTTCTGGCGTTTACACATTTCTTCCGGGACCTGCCCAGGGATCTAAGGTTAAAAATGGCATCATGACACTTTCCACTGACAAAAAAAAAAAAAAAAAAAAAAAATACATAGATTAAGCCCTTCGTAAAGTGTGGGCTGTACTTGTCAGAACAATTTTTTGTATCTCTTTGAGGCATGGACTTCCAGGAATCCCTTCAAGTTTAGGTCAGCTCGTGGTATAGTTTTCAGACACTTTCCAAAGATGGCGCATGCTGGGATGGCCTTGTTCTGACCGCTAACATCAGGTGTCAATGTCAGAAAGCAAACGTTCTGATTGGTCTCCCTCTCTCTCTCTCTCTCTCTCTCTCTCTCTATATATATATATATATATATATATATATATATATATACATACACACACATACACACACACACACATATATATATATATATATATATATATATATATATATATATATATATATATATGATACCAATTTGTAATTAGTAGGGGTAATTCTAAGGAGGACTTTAATCTGAAGAGAGCTCAATGTAACATTTGTGATGTACGGTATGTATAACTAAAAGACTCGAATGTTAAAATAAAATAGTATTTAATTACAACCGCAAATAAATACTTAACAAATTAATACTTACTTACAAAGGAGTAAAAGTCAGCCAAAGATAATTAATCATTTCACTGAACTCCTTCTTAGTAGCGCGGCTCGGCTTAACGTCGATGCAATAATTCACACTAATTCGACTGGATAGTTCCATTCAATAATCACTGCAGTCAGTAACCTGACACCACTATTCATACACCTGGTAGTAAACATATTCATAAGTCTAGAGTGTCATGCTCGAACCTCCGTGTCGGTAGTACTCATTTTCTTCCTATATGCGAGTAAATTACAGAGCAATACAAGGTGTCCATAAAGTCCGTGTGCACTTTAAAAAATTATAACTTTATTTGTATTTGCGACAGAAATAATATATAAAAATCTTATAATCCAGTGTTTCAACAAGATGGAGCTCCTTGTCACTTTGCATTGCGTGTTAGAGAGTTTCTAGATCAGGAATTTCCTAACAGATGAATCGGAAGGGGTAGACCATTTTATTGGCCTCCACGTTCGCCAGATTTGACACCATTAGATTTTTTTATGGAGACATGTGAAAACAATTGTGTATGGAACCAAACCTAGTTCATTAGAAGATTTGAAAGCTAAAATAACTAATGTGATTTCAGGCATTACTGTAAATCAGTTGGCAAATGTTTTCCGTGAACTGCAAAATCGTATTACCCTTTGTATTGCTAATGATGGAGGACATGTGGAAACTTAAATAAAATTTCAATAAAACCTTAGAAAATATAGATTTACTTCTTTCTAATCCTTTTTACAAATTATTTCTATCGCAAATACAAATAAAGTTAGAAATTGTTTAAAGTGCACATGAACTTTATGGACACCCTGTATATATAGTAATAAGTAAAGAAAAAACTCGGTTATAATTTATTTAATGAATCTTTTTATTTTATTTTTGTTTTAATATTCATCTTTTCAGACCGAACGTTTTTTTAGAAATGGAATCAATTCGCCCAGACAGAGAGGGAAAATGTATTAAGGAAAAAGAGAGAGAGAGAGGAAAAAACGGGGAAAGTAAAAACAGAGTTAGGGAGCGTGGAACCACCCCTTAATTGCTGGTGTTCCCAGGTCTACTCTGACCCGGAGTGGCAGCACCTCTCAGGGTCCCAGCTATGGGCAAATATTTATCTCCCAAACTGGGGTCAAAAAACTATGCAAGCATAAAAATACATTTTTGTAGTAGAAGTGCCAGCAATTTATTTTTATTCTAAAGGAATTATCAGTAATAGATTTTTGTAAAAGAAATGAATAAAAATAGTACCAGCAATACAATTTTGTAAAGAAAAAATAATATTATCAATACATTTATAAAAAATAGTACCAGCAATACAATTTTGTAAAGAAAAAAATAATATTATCAATACATTTATAAAACAAAATAGTACCAGCAATACAATTATCTAAAGAAAAAAGAATATTATCGATACATTTATAAAAAAAATAGTACCGGCAATACAATTTTAACAAATAAATCAAACTAAAACTGGGAAAAAAGGATAACTAATTAAACGAAAATCGAATAATTCACAACTTTTTTCTTTGAAATGCATTCGCAGCCCCCCGCTCCAAAATCGACGCCGGTCATAGTTTGCCCACAAGTCAGAAAGGAATATATTTTTTAGTAATGAATTTAGGCAATGATTACTGATAGAATACATAATTAAATACTCTTACTTTTCTTAACCTGCGGAATCCTTGTGAGGCTTCTACTGTTTTAGGTTTTATTAAATGCTCAACCGGTTTGAAATATAATTGTTCTTCTCTTAGGTTAGTTGCCAATTAAGTCTACGCTGGTTGTCTGTCCAGTTCTTGTTATCTAAAGCTGGTTGGGGAGAGGTGATAGGTTCGTATCTTTCCCAAGGGCTTTTAAGCCGAACTGGACGCACCGGCTTCGGTCAGAACTTTCAATCAGCCCGCCTGTCATACGCAGCGGACACTAAGAAG